CTGTTTATTATTATAATGTGTGTAACGTATATAATTTAATATCAAACATGTATGTAATATAMATAATATATTCTTTTATGCACTTACCTCGGTTGTAATTTCCGCTGTCTGCGATAATACGATATTATATGGTTATTGCACAGATGTTTTGATGATGGGATTGGGTTAGAATTTTCGATGTTCGTGGTATCACTGCTACGGTATAATAGTATTATTATGTAACGCGTAATTCGATTTGTATCARTTCAATGCGTGCACGATGACGTACTATAACACTGATGAAGCGATGATACTGTACGTCCACTATTGTAAGTTGATATCAATATTGAGATGACTATAAATCTCTCTCGCATGTGTATACGTGGTATCAATCAGTGTTGACTAYAGTAAAGGTAAATAACAATATTAATTATCTAATATCATACTGATATTTAWATGTTATCTATCTTAAATGAGAAGTTCAGCAACATACTGTAATTTATCTAGATATTTTTTGCGTTGTGAGAATGTCTTTAATACATTTAATGCTATAGTTAATAATCTGGGTAATATGTACCTACTTTTTTTTAGAATACAACAATCGGGTGATAACGATTTTCATAATACTAYCTATCCACTAAATTGTTAATCCAGATCAACCACATAGTTGTGTCAGTTGTATATGTATGTACTATGCACTTTAAATTATAATATTATTATTTTGATATCAAAGAATCAATATTAGTTATTATAATCGAAATATGAATAYAACTTTAACKTTAGCGTCTACTTATGCAATCRGATTGCCTAAAAAGGTGATTACATTTAAAGTTGATCGATTTTCACTSCTGGTGACTGACTTGTTTGACACTCAATCACAGCTTTCAAGCTTAAGATTTTTGACTTTCATAAAAGCACACAAATGAACTATATATTAACAATATWCCTTGTTCAATTTGTGATTTGTATAAGCGTGAGAAAATTCTAGTCACATAAACTCAACTTTCAAACATTCCCGTCTTCAAATGAGGCTGATCCTGAAAAAGCCGAACCTTATCACAAATCCTTATWATTAAACCACTTCCAACCAACAAATTTACTTCCTCCAACTTTCGAGTTTTGACTTTCAAAAAGTTGAAACTTTTATAATTATAACGACTATGACACTGCTTTCGTTACCTACTCGCAGTCTTATACAGCCTCTGAAATTCCCCGGAAAATATAATACTATTATAAAACAMTAACTTTAACTTAAGCACTAACTAAGTTCAAAATTAAAAATGTTAATACAGAGATTTTAAACTGTACGGTTTTTTAAAACAGCGATTTGTCTATTGTTTTGACCAAAATACATACATTTTATGTAAAAAAAAGTATATATATTATATATATACAACAAAAATAACTATTTTCTCGCAGAATCTAGTAACTAAAATTCTATGAAAATTGGTTGAAAACTTTGTAGAATTCAAACAGTAGCCATCCAATTTAGGTTTATTTTATTAAATATATTGGTAGTTGTTTTTAGCTAAATCTAACTAGGCGAGCTCCGTGGTTTTGCCCGTGACAACTTAATAATATCACTTGTTGATATTTTATCAATATTCAAATTTCGCTAAACACAACTACGCAGATGGTTTAAACTAATTATAAAATCCAGGTCTAAAAAAAATGTGTCCAATCATTAAAATAATAATAATTTTTTTCTATAGCTTACAAAAGCAACCGTATACAAACGAACAAATTTTTATTATCCTAAGTCAATAAATACCCCCCTCCCTCCACACACATAATCAATAATCAATATATTATGTCATTTAATTTTAAGTGTATTGGCTGTAAAATCAATAATTTTATTGTCATACAAAAACGGCTTATCCTTCATACTAAACCAAATTAAAATATGAACAATGCCGAAATACACTCATCTAAAAAAAATAATTGTTAATCAGGAAAATTGTAGAAGAAAATGCTGTGTGTTGATTTTTAAACTATACGAACGGTGACGTATGCATTTTTTTACATACTATTATTTCGTTATATTATTATGTTATATGTGGTCACAGAAACAATAATCACTATACTTATGGGGTGTATTGGTTGTACACAGAAGTTTAATGTATTATATGTCTCCTTTTATTATAGTGTCGACTATATATAGAGGGACTGCATAATGTTGAATATTTAGCAAAATCTTGTTGCGTTGGAACCTCTGAATTTCAGATCGTAAATGCTTGTGGAATGTTTTAGGAATGGGTACAATGTGTATATATCCACACATAGGTCATAAGTCAATGTTTAGAATTTCGTAACATTATTAAAACGTATTGAAATATTTTAAATTATATTAAAAATAATCAAATTATTTTATACGAAATGATTATACTATGAACAGGCTGGCCAAAATWTGATACAAAATAGCAAAGGCATGTGGTTATATTTATATAAATAATCCTTCATTACTAAAAAATCAATAGTTAATGTGAAAACTAGTGTTCGGTATTCTGTGCACTGAACCCTACCAAAATATGCATGTTATGCGATTAAAAACATTGAATTATTCGTTATATATTTTTACCAATTTTATGTAAAAAGAAAACCTTTAAATACTTAAATTAGTATGAATTAAATTATGATAAATATCTCTTGAATAATCTTCGTCTAGAAAATATATGGATCTATAACAACCCAATATCGGTCTACTGCTAAACAACTATAATATTGTATACATATTATATTTGGTTTCTTATTTGATTATTTTTGATTTATATATATATAGGTATTAGGTATATAAACGAGTAAATATATATTTGGTCATCGCAATGCCTTTTAAAAGCGGTAAATATGAACAATTTGAAAAATATGCATTTAAACAAGATAAGCTGAATCAAATTTTGAAAAGTATAACATGCATTTGTTTTCCAATGTTTTTGTATATTCACTATGAACACGAAAATGCATTAACTTCCGGTCTGTAATGAATCATCACTAATCACAATAGAATAAMATTAAACATTTTAAAATTAATGGGATTTTTTTTAAATTGGTTGAATACTTTTTACCAACTGTATACAAATAGTTGAATATTATTTTTTCATTCTTAGTAAATAAACTCAAAGAATGTACCTACACATAATATTTACTGTGGTCATATAATATTAAATAGGTACTCAATCATAAATATATAAATATATAATTTGTTTAATTTAAATGATGTTTCGACTACAGTAGGTATATATTAATGATTTTATACACATGAATTATTCTTCTTCGTCTTTCTCTGGCACTTAGTACTCTCTAAGAGTTTAGCCCGCCATCACAATATCTCTCCATTGTTCACGGTTCTGAACTATTTCCCTCCGTTCCTGTACTCCCAATCTTTCAAGGTCWTCTTCCACAACATCCATCCACCTTTTCTGGGGTCTTCCTCGTGGCCTTTTTCCCATTGGTTTCCAATTTAGAATTGTCCTACTTATATCATTCTCGCTTCTTCGCATCGCATGTCCTAAGCTGATAACTGGCGCCATACCCAATTCGTCTTGTAGTTCTTTGTTGTATTTTCTTCTCCATACAGCATTTACGTTATCATAAGTTGGTCCACATATTGTCYTCCAAATTCTATTTTCAAAGGTCCTAAGTCTTCTTTCAGTTATGCTGATGGTAGTCCAAGCTTCACAGCCATAGGTGAGCGTCGGTCTTATTATTGCTGTATATAGTCTAGTTTTGGTCTTCTTTGAAAATAATTTTGATTTTAAGAACTTATTTAAGGCAAATGCCGCTCTTTCTGCCTTTGCGATCCTTACTCTTATTTCCTTCGACCAATCATTTTTAGCACTTAGCATAGCTCCTAGGTACCAAAATTCATCTACTTTTTCGAAAGTTAGTGACCCCGCGTTAGGGTTGTCTCCATCTTCTAGCAGCTCCATTACTTTAGTTTTTTCGGCATTGATTTTTAAACCTATCTTGCTAGCTGCTTGTTCAAGGGCTTGGGCTGCTTTTTCCGTCTCCTCTAGGGAATTWCCTAGTATATTTAAATCGTCTGCAAAGCCCAGTACTTATATGTGTTGCTGACCGATTTCCACGCCAGTTGTTTCTGTAATTCCCTTATAACTTTTTCTAAAGCTATATTGAACAGGGTAGGTGATAGTGAGTCTCCCTGTTTTAAGCCAGTTCTTACTTCAAAGGCTTCTGACAGCGTGGATTCGACCCTTATTTTATACTKTGTGTTTTCCATGCACATTTTAGTTAGAGTTACTAATTTTTGTGGGATCCCGAACTCCTCCATTATGTTGTAAAGACTTTGTCGGTGTATACTATCGTAAGCCTTTTTGAAATCAACAAATAACTGCCAGATGTTTTGGCGGAATTTATACTTTTTTTTGTATTAGTTGGTCTATGATCGTGAGTTGCTCTATTATTGACTTCCCTTTTCGGAATCCGCACTAGTATCTGCCTAAGTTTTCTTCTGCGTACAGTGTTAGTCGTTTTAATAGTATTCTCGCAAATACTTTGTAAGCTGAGTTAAGCAGTGATATTCCTCTATAGTTTTCACAGATTGACTTGCCACCTTTTTTGTAAATCGGTACCACTATGGCTTCGTTCCAGCTTTTTGGCATGCTCTCATCTTTCCATATCTTCTGACAAATTCTAAAAAGAAGGTTTTGCATCTCTTTTCCACCATATTTRATGAGTTCAGCTGGTATTTCATTCGATCCTGGTGACTTCCAATTTTTCAGGTCTTTTATTGCTTCATTGACTTCTTCCCGAGTTACTTCGCTTACCATTGGTTCTTCTCCATGTATGTTTTTGCTTCTCGTTGAGTTATCTGGGATATCTGCGTTCAACAGTTCAGTGAAGTATTCCTTCCATCTTTCGGCTTTTTCTTTAGGGTCCATGAGTACTTCGCCATGACGATTCTTAATAGTTTTTAGACTTGGGTTGAACTTTTTGTATTGTTTTATGGTCTTAAAGAAATTTCTAACACTTCCCATCGAGTAATTTCTTTCTGCCTCTTGTAATATTTAACTTAGATACTTTCTTTTCTCTCTTTGGAGTACTCGTTTACACATCTTCCTCTCTAAGAAGTATACTCTTTTTGTATCTGCACTATCTTCTGTAATATAGTTTTCATGGGCAGTTTGTCTTTTTCTTATCGCTTTTTGACAGTTTTCATTATACCATTTTTTTTTCTCATTTCTTATCATCCCAATGTTTTCTACTGCAATTTGTTTAATGGCTTTGCTAACTTTGTCCCAGTCTTCATCTATGTCATTCAATTCGATGCCTTTTATATATTCACCAATACTTTTTGAGTATTTTTGTTGGATTTCTTCATCCTTTAGCATCTCTAGATTTATCTTTCTGCTATTTCTTTTTTCTAGTTGTTTTCGACTCTGTAGCTTTATCTCGAACTTTGCCACTACTAGGAAGTGATCTGTATCGCAATCAGCTCCTCTATAGCTTCGTATGTCTTTTATGCATGAGCGAAATCTCTTTTGAATGAGTATGTGATCTATTTGGTTAGTTGTTATTCCGTCCGGTGATTTCCATGTGGCTTTGTGGATGGCCTTGTGTGGAAACGTTGTGCTACTTATTGTCATATTCTTTGCCGCTGCAAAGAATATTAGCCTTAGTCCATTTCCGTTGCTCTTCTCGTGTAGGCTTTCATTACCTAGAGTTGGGTTAAATTGTATCTCTCTTCCACACTTGGCATTTAAGTCCCCTATCACTAATTTGATTACGTTCCCTGGTATATTATCATAAGTATGTGCCAGTTCCTCGTAGAACGCATCCTTGATATCCTCATCTCTTGTATCTGTTGGAGCATGTGTACACACTAGTACTATATTTAAAGGTTTTGTGTCAACTCGTAGTACTGCTATTCTTTCCGAGACGGGATTAAACTCTTTTATGTATGGTTCTAGGGTTTCATGCACAGTAAAGCCGCTTCCAAAAATGTGTCTTTCCTCCATTCCAGAGAAGTAGATTATATATTTTCCTACTTTAAGCTGTCCATTCCCTGACCATCTTATCTCTTGCAAGGCTGCTATATGTATTCCATATGTTTCTAATACATCTGAAAGATTCTGGCAAGCACCAATTCTAAAATGGTTCAACGTGTTCCAGGTCGCGATCTCAATTCCAATTTTCCAATTTCCATGTCCTAGCTTATAACCGTTTCTCCATATCCGAGGCTGATTTTCTGATGGTACCATAACAAATAAGTTTTTATAAGGTGGGGTTGTTAGCCCCGCGCTCAACCCCCAACCTGGAAGATCAGTCTACTCCAACCAGTTAAGGTCAGGGTAGGGCTTTTATTCGAATAGTGTTTTCTACCTTTCCCTAGTAATTCCCAATTATTAAAGATCTAGTTCTTATCGCAGGGTGACACAAATATAATTAAATATATAGGTAAGGTTTTTTAACTGTAGATTATTTTACTGTTTTCCTACAACATATATATGTAAGAAAATAGTACGCCTGATACACAATTTAATGACCTAGTTTTGTTAATTTCCATGCAACATGGTAATAGCTGATCGTGCGACATATAAAGCGATACATTGGAAATATCGTATTTTATCTTTACTATCTAGATGTTCACTTATTACACTATTGTTAAAATTAAAGCGTATAATAAATAATAGTTATTGAAATATAGATGATTGGTAATACATAGCTATATCAACTTAATTTCAGTCACAGATCTAGATAGTTCAAAGATCTAAGGATGAGGCCATACATTACAAAACGTTATTACAACGAAAATGCAATATATATATATATATATATTTATATAGTTAATATATTTTTTTATATTAATAAATTAATAAACATATAATATTGTACAGCATAATATGTGATTATTCAATAGTTGTAAGTCTTGGATTGAAGAGAGGATTCTAGATTTCTTGATTCATTACTGCTAACTATACCACAAAAATTAACCAACGCAAGTCCATTTTTCAAATGTTGAGTTGGTTTCATAATCGAAAATTTTTCTAATATTTTCAAGGCATTAATATATAATTCTGACATATGATAAATTAATAGATATAGAGAGCTGATATACTAACACAAGTTCTTAACTTTACAAAACTGTGTTTATTGAAAAGTATATCAGATTTCATACTTGTCGCAATATAGTTACATTAAATAATATTGTTGAAATATACAGATATAGGTTCATATTATGATGGTGGCCTAATATGATAGGACTATTCTACCAAATTAATTGTTTATAATAAATATTGTTTTTTAGTCAAATATAAACCTTATACGAACTATTAGTTTTAACTTACATTTTTTAATCCATAACGTTTATATAAACTATTTTCTAAGTTATGTTAGGAATGAATGAGATTTAAACACAAAGTAAATCCGAGCAGTGTAATAGCGTCAAAACTGAGTACTTTCAAAATGTTCGAAATGATTAATATAGGAAATCAAAACATTTTGATAGTTGTGATGTGGCAATACCAGTTTGAAATTGATGGATCATTTTGTGAAAAAAATGCCATCTGGACACTATCGAGATATCTAACGAGTGACGACTGTATCGATAAGTAAAATAAGCTTGTTGATTCTGAGCACAGCGATAAAGGTATAGATTTTACAATAATTTTTGTGTGTGTATTTATCTGTCATCAGCCATCATCTCAGACCAGAAAAAAAGCTTCAATCTTCAACTTTGATTTTTTCTGCCTTGATAGTAAATAGGATCTAGTGAGGTAAAGTAAGAGTAAAAATGCACAATACTTTCCAAAATAATTGGGAATTCAGAAAAAAAAAATAAAAAAAAATAGGGAAAAGCTGCAGGAATTATTTCACGAAATGAGTTTTTGAAAAAATAAATTATAATTCAAACTTAAATTGAACGTGAATCTACAGTTTTTGAAATGAGAAATTCTTCTAATGATGAAATTTTTCAAATTTATGGACACATTTATTTTGTAGTTGAAAACATATAAAATGACATTGTGTAATATTCGAACCTAATATTTGAAAATATAATACACGGATAAGGTCCTAGGATATTTTGTGTACATGRATATTATAAAAAAGGWTGATTTTTGTTATTTAAAAATATTGTTCATGGGGACTGATAACTTTTACGTATATTATTACAGTTAACCAGTTAACGTAATAATGTAATTACAATAGTATACAATGGCATATGTATTCAAAATATTTATATTATTTACACTACAATCCTATTCACGGAATTTTATGGTTATTTGTAATTCACATAAAAGGTAACATTAATTTATTTTATCAAATAAACTTTTAAGTTTTAATAATAGTCTATTATAAAAATAATTATGAACAATGTAATGAATAAAATATTTCCAACAACAATAAAGTCAACCTTCCATGACTTATGATAAAATAAGTTCCAATAAAAGCAATGTGGTAACAGTAACACCTTAATATATCTTTTTGGTATGCGATGACTTAAAATTATATTCAGATTAAATACGTCCATTGCAGTTATCTACTCAATGATAGGGTATACTCGACACCTAMTATACAGCAGAGTAAGTTCTTCAATTTATTACACAGTTAATACCTGGAATTAGATTTATACACATGCATTGAACTTACGTAGGAGGTAATAATCGTAATGTAGAACATTATCAAAGATTACCGTAAAATGGCTTTAATATTGAAACTAGTTTTTGTATATATATATATATATATATATATAATTTTAATGATCAATAAAGTAATGCAAGTTCTAAAAATATGGAAGTGGTTTAATAATTTAAAATTGATTTTTTATCGCTTTGAAAACACAAGTTAAACGTTTTATTGTTAAAATTTTCTCAGTGTAGTAAATGAAAAAAAAAACAAAAAAATAACCTAACCCAGAATCCAAATGTATTTATTCATATAATAAAAAAAGAATGAAATTGATTTATGATATTTTATATATATATATATCTTAGTTATAACCTAATTGTGTTATTTAATAACATTAAATTATACAATCATCATATTGTATTTATTATATTAAAACTGAAACACTCAGTTTTATTTAATTGTATCATTTAATTTCTTAAAATAAAAGTCTTAATCTTATGAAGAAGGTATACATTTTAATCTAAGTTTAATCTAAAATTTAACTATAAATTTAATAATTTTAAGTTGTATACAACTTTATACAAGTTATAAGATCAATATAAACTTAACAAACRGTTCAAAATTTAAATAATACACCTAATAACTTAATAGTTAATTTTAGTAAAAAATGAACATTTTTAATTGTATTAATTTTTTTCTGTTCTTATATCAATAAATAATTAAAATATCAGTGAACATTTTTAAAATAAATAATTTTTTTAAGATTAAAAATAAAGATCATTGTTAACTTGAGTGTTCTTAACCTAAGAATTTTTCAAAAATATATCACCGATTTTAGAAATATTCAAAACTAAACTAAATATAATATTCTAGATACAACCTAGATTTTGCATAAAATACAATGATCAATTTTAATATTAAAGCTGTTTTCTTTTAAATGTTTATGAAATGTTAGAGATTTATCCTATTTGAATACAATATTTTTTTTTATTATTATTGATAAAATAACTGATAAATACATAATACCTAGGTAAGTAATATTAATATTTTTCTTATACAATTTATAGTATCATTATGCTATATAAGTACCTAATTCAATATATTGGTACAAAAAAATCTTGTAGATATTTTTATTATTTTTTAAATTTCACAAAACTATTTCGTTTTAGATTTCATCTGAGAAATATTTCCTCTGTTTTGTATCTTAGTGTTCATAATTTACGATTCAATTATGTAAATATTTGGTCACTTTTACTTATAAATATTAATTTTATGCAATACCCATGATACCTAAAATAGCAAATGAAATTACACGTTTATCGCAAGTATGATCTTAATACGTGAAATTTTATTAAGATACTTTTTTTCAAATTTAAACAGCATATAAGACGCAATCACGATTGTGGCGTAATCATTGTTATATTTTTATTTATACTTAATTTATTTTGTTTAAAAGTATTTAATATGTTGAATGAAATACGGGTTTTATCCGTCTTATACAAAATTAATCTTATAACTAGTCATACTATGAGATAAGGACTTTTAATTTTTAAAAACATCAAAGTATATAGGCATTAAAAAAACAAATATTATGCACTTAAAATAATATACTCTTAAAAATGTGATATAATATATAATTTGGAACCTTACTTGCTATATTTATGCAAAATATATTTATATATGTATAAAAATATAAATTAATCAATAATTGATAGAAACATGAACGGTTAATTGCACGATAGTATATCGTACATCGTCATTTATAACAATATATAAATTATGACGTACAACTGAATATTGTACACGATCCTATACACATATTATTATCTTATTGACCAAATTGTAAATTACCTAACCGTTAATATTAATATTTTTATACGTCGATTGTAAACATTCGAAAAACAATATTTTTTTGCAGATCTTTATATGTTTTATTTTATTTAATATCAACATTTTCCAAATGTTCACAAAAATATTCCATAAATATCTTAAATAATATTTTAAACATATCTTTCTTGTGTTATGAAACATATTTATACATTAGATAGATTGTTCTGGGACCCTTATAGACAAAAAAATTAAAAATAAACTAGAAGTTCACAGTCGTACTTTATTAATGATTAGAGTCCACTACACATCATWAAATTTCTCCACGTATAGAGATAAAAAAAAAGTAAGATGTACGTGAACTTGGTACGGATTTTAAAGTTTGGCTTTGTGTTGAAAACTCAAGGAATAGAAAAAGTAAATCGTCCAATGGGGCAGACGAACGTGAAACAGAAAAAAACAATCTTATTGGCTGGTTTTAAGTTGTTATACAGTAGAGTTATTCAAAATGAATGATCCAATGATCTGCGCCTGGCTTTCTATAGGTCATGTAGGTCATGTGATTTTATGACTTGTTACTATACTTCTTTTAGGTATATATGTTAAAGAGGCTATATAGTTGTACTACCATTCATATCATAAACCAAAGAGGAGCTAAACAATTTGTGGATATTATGCCTGCAATGAATTTTTGATGTTATTCGGCTGACAAAAAAAGGGCCCCATATAACAGTTATTGGTTATAAAAAAACGTTTTAAATATTATTCTTTTATTTCACATTTTCATACATCATATTTTAATACA